CTCTCTTCACCTTGAACATTTCCAAGCTGTTGTTTTGCCACGCTGTTATTTCCTCTCTGGCTGTTTGAGAAAATAGCTCAGACTGAGAAGTGATAGACAGGAAGTGTTGTTCAGCCACTAAATCAGAAAAGCACTGTAGTGTGTTTTTGTCTGTTCTTCCAGGAGGAACATGTCTTAGTTATGAATGGATGACCGGTGAATGGAGGCATAACTGGAGACTGGTGTGGTGCCAGCGCTCTGATGGAGTCAATGTCACAGGTGCGCACTATTGCATTAAGAATGCATTCATTTAGAAATCAACTTAATTATTATCTTATTATCTTATTTCATAGCTTTTTAGGCATGGAAAGGACAAATTTTAATTTTGTTTCTCTACATTAGGAGGCTGCATTGCTCAGAACCAGCCCTCTGCCATAAGACAGTGTCACCCTCCCTGCACCAAACCCTTCTCCTTCTGCACACAGGTGACACCCAGAACACTGTGGACACACAATCTTATTCATTCATCAAAAATGTGTTTTTTTGTTGTTGTTTTTTTTTAATTGTGACATGTTTTTTTTATGAAAATTCAGCACATTTTCCTCTCCTTCCTCCCAGTATTGTTATTGTTAACTAAAACTAAAGCAATTAAAAATCATTGTCATAATTGAAATCATGCTGAAATAAAATATATGTATGAAATGAATAAAAAAGTTGCCTTGGCAACTAACTGAAATAAGGTCAAGTTGAAGTACTAAAATTACTAAAATTAATTAAAGCTATATAGAAATATCTGCAAAACCCCCCACAAAACTAATAATAATGACAAAAGCAAATTGAAAATTACTTTAAAAAATGAAATTACTTTTTTTTTTTTTACTAAATTAGTTTTAAACTTAATTAATTCAACTTAAACTAAATTAAAACGAAAATGGAACAAATAAAATGTAAGCTAACTCTTGTTGTTGTTATATTTGAATCATAAATATGGTTAACAATTTAATAGAAAAAAAATGTCCAACGTCTTCAGTGAAATATGATAGGGATCTGTTCTTGAGATTCACCCTACTGGTAATACAGCTGCTGTTATGGTAACATCACCCAGTCCATGTTTTACAATAATTCAGCAGTGAATACTATTTTTATATGGAAATGAGCTGTGACGGATGCTGAGAGTTTATAAAGTGTGGTATCATTTGACACTCTGTTATAGTGAGATATAAATACCTTTATTATCACATATCACAACTTCATCTCACCCTCTAATGCCGTGCAATTAACAACTGTATGGCTCCGTATGTGGAACGTAGCACATTTCAGTATCTAGCTGTCACCATGCTGCTATCACTCTCTCTGTCTTTCTGTCAGAATGGAGTCTGTGGTTGTGAGAAGGGCTTCACGGAGGTCATGACCTCTCACGGGTTCCTTGACTATTGTACCAGAACACCAGGGCTGGACCATAAGAAGGAAGATGTGAAGACCGCCGCAGGCCGACCAGAGCACGCTTGGAACAAGAACCACATCCAGGACTGGGCGCTGCAGCCTCTTGGACCAGGTACTGGAAAAGACTTTGACAATTTAAACAAGCCTTTATTTAAAAAACTATTTCTCTGCAAGTTTGAGTTAGAATAGTTTGCAAAAGCATGATTAGAAATGCAATGAGGCTGACTAGTGAGTAGAAAAGTTAACCTGTTCGGTGTGATGACGTTTAATGTCCCGAAAACCTTGGTTGTTGCCCAATTTCACCACTTGTTAGCGCCTTTTTCAAGACAAGTAAAACCTTTTAAAAAATCCAAATGGGGTATTACTGATGCATTATATGTTGTAGAATAAGACATGAAAATATCTTGAGCTTGTGTTAAGCACACACCTTATTTCAGACATTTAACCAAAAACTCATTCAAAAAACATACGTCATCCCTGCAGCACTGTATTGGGCGGATTGTTTGGTTGACAGATAGTGGTCAAGAGTTTTCTCAACCAGAATCAGGTCAGAATGATTTACAGAAGCTGTACTTTGTGAACATGAATGTTTATTTTGATTGACAGATGGCCGTGTCAAGTTGTGGGTATATGGGCTGATGGCGGCCGGGTTTGTTGTGATCCTCCTCCTCATCATTATGTCCTTCCTACTGTGGTGAGGCTGACTTTTTACATGGCTGTACTAATTTAATGTTTTTCTTGTGACTCTATCACTCTCTTTCTTCTCACATAATAAAACAATCAAGGATCTAATCACCCTCCCGTTGGTTTATTTTGCCATAATGACTGCCTGACTGAACATTATCTCTTAAATAAACAACTGGCATGTGTTTTTAAGACAAAAAAAACATGTATGACTCCACAATTGGTAAATATCATATGTGAAATATGACAATGTATGTTCTGCACTCTAGTGGTGATAGTTTAAACTGCAACAAATTATGACTCGAATTGTATCTTAAGTGGTGAGTTTAAATGTATTTAGACATTTTTGCATGCTTGTATATGCACGTTTTGCATTTCAGTAAAAACCCGGAGGACAGTCCCAGCAGCAGTCCACAGAAGGCGCTGGCTCTGGCGTATGATGGGGACGTGGATATGTGAGCCCACTATGAGTATGCGGGCTGAAACATGCTCAAAACAGACGTCTGGCATCCTTCAGACCACAAAATGAACATTTACAGCAGCACACAAGCTGAGCGCAACAATGAGCCAGACCAGAGATGATGTTGACTGGATGACTGATGTTTAAACTGCACAAAGACTAAACACGAGGCTATCTGGAGGACTTTTTGAAGCTTAAAAGCCTTTGTCCACATTCAGTGTAAATGCATGAAAAAGAGCAACCAGAACATCCTTAAAAACATTTAATTAAATATCTTTTATGTTCTGCAGAAGAAAGTAAGTCATATAATTTTGAAATTACATGAGACGGAGATAATGATAACAGAATTGTTATTTTTTGGTGAACTATGCCTTTAATGATCCCTAAAGAGGGATGTTTTCTGATGCACTACATTAGTGCCATCTTAAGTGCCATATTTATTCATTGATGTTTTAAAACCTGTATAGCCTTTCAAATAGCCGCCCTATTTGAATCCTTTAGGTGTTGAACAATTCTTTTGAATTCATTCACCCTGATCATCTTTGACGCATTTAAAACGCTTCGTTATCCCTGGAAAGGTTGTGACATGTTCTTTTGTAATGTGTATGCTGTGAATATTTTCTATCTGTGTCTTCGAGTGGTTTATAAATAAATCTGAATCTCAGAGAGGAGTCTTATATTTAGATGAGCGGGGGTTTCATGCGGTAGAACTTGCACATGCCGTGTGGTTGTGCTCTTTGAGATTTATTTGTCTTTGAGGTTCTGGAATGGTGCTGCTGTCATTTCTGATCAGAATCAATACACTGAGCCAACTTCTATGGGCCAAGCCCAGATTGTCATATTCCTCTCATGAATTGTAATTAGAATGTGCATTAGTTACAGATGACATCAAATGAGGGAAACGCAGATGCTACAGAGCTGCATGCAGGTGCATGGGCCAGTAGGTGGCAGTAGGATACAATTATAGAAACTCCAACTGTCTGAGGTTTTTGCTTGATTCTGGTATGCTGATATAATGCTCTATAAGCATACACTACAATAACAAGTAATATCAAGGACATGCTAAGAGATCATCTAAGTTTTAAGCATGTAATTCACAATTAACTGGACCATATTTAATACAGATATTAAAAAATATTAAAGAATATAACATAAAAATTAACAGAGCTATATATATATATATATTCAAATTAAAATAAGATATTAATTTGTTTAAATCACCCTGCAAAGTAAAAAAAAAAAAAAGAGAAAATTGTCATTAAATTGTGGCTTAAATTAAATATATTAAAATTATGTTTTGCAGCATAATTTTCTTATAAATGTTTCATATTTTTTCCAAGTTTCTGATTTAAAAAATGTTGCAGAATTATATTAATACAGGTATAATAATGCTCCGATTCAAACCCATGTGATTTCCATGGAACAAAAGAATAAGAAGTTTATCAGAATGCTCGAGTTGCTTCCATTCAATGAATATTGTATACAATAATTTCTCATTCTCAATCTCGTTTGTGCTTGTTCATAGCCATTCAGATTTGTCAGACATGCCGTGACCGGGTAAACTATTCCTTTAAGAGTGCCTATAATACTTATATCTTGGCCTCTGGAGGGTGAATCACCGAGCCAAGGGGAAAAAAAGAAAAACCTTGCAATCTTTTTAGCATCTGCATGCTGTTAAATACTCAGTCGTTCGCTCAAAATTCAATCAGCAAATGTGATTGATTTGGAAAGTTGTTGATCGAGCGTGAGGTGTTTGAGTGAGTTTTCTTCACACCTCGCTTTGCAACAGGTCACTGATAAGGTTCTCCAGCAGCCCAGATTTCGAAATTGGATTCATTGATTTACGAGAGGAGGTAAATGTCTTTTTACTACTCTCAAAGGAGAATATTGTAGGTTATTTGGACCTTGAATTATTTTCTGTCTAGCTAAATTCAGCCAAAGATGATCAAATTACCCATTATAGGCAAATGGGCGGCCCACAGCAGCAGTCTTTTTGCATCAAAATGTATTTTGTCTCTCACAATCTGGTTACTGTTGAAGGACGACATTAATTTTACATGTCCGTTTTTGCAACACCGGATCAGACGTCCCAAGGCCTTTCTTGCAGATATGTGGTTGTTTTAAACACAGTTTACTAATTTAATTTAGTGTTCGGTCAAACAGAAGACCTCTCATCTCCTCGTTCCTCCACTCTCGTACCATCTCCCCTCCTTTTCGCTCCTCTATCAGTGAAGAAGTGCATTAGAGAGCTCTCGTTCTCGCTCGTGTCTCTGTGTGCCTTATCAGATGAGATAAGCTTGAGTGCTGAGGTTCTAATAGGGTTCCAGCCCAGTGGGATTCTCCTCACGTGCCCAGAGAACAACAAACACATACATCACTGCTCCCCGAGATCAGCTTCACTCCATGACAACAAAGACACTGCCCAAATCAACCAGTTTACTGAAAGCATCTGAGATTGCCCAGAATTTGCACTTAAAGGGATAGTTCACCCCCAAAAAATGAAAATTCTGTCATAATTTTACTCACCCTCAAATCATTCCAAACCTGTATGTTTTTCAACCTTTGCCCGTTTCACACTGGATGCTTAAGCAGAGCAGAAGCATGTGCTTATTTTGCTTTCACACTGGCTGTTTTGAAGCTCTGCGTGTATACTATAAAATCAAAAATGGGTAAGACGAGTGTTATCCATTGATTTGCCTTTTTCAGCTCTACTCCTCAGACTGCAAGCTGACATGACTGTCACATGTTTTAATTTATGATGGGCAGCATATTCTGCTGTGATGCTACACCTTTCCCCTCCCACAATACCATATAAGTATATACAGTATGATACAATACAATTCATCTTAAACTTAAGCTCTATTTTTAATCATTTAAACATGCATATGAGGTTTGAGCAAACAAACTTTTTGCAATGTGTTTTCGGGTATTGTATTTATTTATTTTTTCTCCAAGTCATATGATCACTACACGTTGACATTTTTCATGTCAACACGTGTATTTTGACAAAAAATTATGCATTGTCACTGTAATTCAGTGTGAGCAGCACAGAAAAAAAATTGGCATTTCAGACTTTTTTTCTCGGAATTCTGAGTTTTCTGAAAAAAAGTCAGAATACCTAGATATAAACTGTGGATGCGTTGTTGTTTTTCATTATTTCTTGTCCCCATTCACTTTTCATTTAATTGAATAATTTATTTATTTTTATTTATTTTTTTGTGTGTGTGTGTTCCACAGAAGAGCCACATCAGTTAGGAATGACATATAGAATGAGTAAATGACAGAATTTTCATTTATGGGTGAATTATTCTTTTAAAAACCTGTCTTAATATGTTAAGGTTTTTAAAACATTTTAGAAATTAACTCATAAGCTAATCATTTGCCAGTGAAACAGATAGCCCCGCCCCCAACCTCACGCTATTAGTTAAGTCAGTGTTGCTGTGTTGGACTGGACAGAACGCTCAAACAAACAATGTTTTGAAGACGCCACAGAGCTACAGTGAAGAAAGTCTGCCTCAGCAACAGTGAGCTTTACCAGGCATTTTCTAGAGGGCAGCTCACCTTCCAAATATTAGTAAACCATTATAAAACACAAACACTAAGTGTGAAGGCCAGTAATGAGAGAGATAAAAGAGAGTGGCAGAGTGAAGAAAAAGAAGAGTGTTGGTGGAGATAACTCCCGTCTCTTCATTACTCCCTTCTCTCTTTCATTAAAAGCTTTTTTCCAGCTCCTCTGCCCCCGGCTGAAGACTCTGAAGAGAAAGTGTAATTGTGCATGGGAAATTAAGTCTGCGACTTGCGACCCTATTTAAAATACTGAGTCCCCAAGGGTAAGGAAGTCTGTTATAAAATGACAACCAGTGTTAAGGGAACTACATTAAAACTCTAGCTTGTCAAGTTACAAGCTCCTGATGACTTAGTAGGTGAAGGAGTTCACTAAAAAAATGAAAATTCTGTCATTGTTTACTTAACCTCATGTTGTTGCATTGCTCGCTTTCTTCAATGGAACACAAAAGGTGCATTTTTAATAGATATCATGACAACTGTTTTGAATTTACTGAAAATTGACTTTACATGAAAAGAAAATGCCATAATAGTATCGTAAAACTGGTCAATATGACTTGTGAACTGCAATATACTGCACTATACAGTATAAGTTTTTGAAAGTCATATGATAGCTTTATGTGAAAAACAGACCTTAATTTAAGTCCCTCAAAAGTTCTTGACATTAACCATATTGCTCTCAAAGAAACAGAGATGACATATCTGTAAATGATTTGTTCTTTTGAGTTAGGATATTTCAGTGAATCTGTTAATCCATTTCACAAAACTGGTCTGGAGTTGATTTATATATTTAAAAAAAAAATCATATATCATAGTTGTTTTGTGGGGTTACATTAATCGCAATCTGCGGTGATGTCACAATTCTGTTGGACTGTGGTTTATGGAGTGGTCTTAAGTGTACAAATGAAGCAGACTTACTCCCTTGGTCAAAATCGAGGGGCTGAGGGTCCATAACCTCCTTCATCCACTTGACAAAGTAGAACGCAGCAGGGATTCCCAAAGGGAAGTGCTTAGGTAAGTTTGCGAGTGTGTGTCTAAAAGCACAGTGGAACGCAGCCAGTATGAGTATGTCATGATCTATAGTGTCGAACGCAGCACTAAGATCAAGTAAAACTAGCAATGAGATACAGCCTTGGTCTGACGCAAGAAGCAAGTCATTTGTAATTTTAACAAGTGCAGTTTCTGTGCTATGGTGGGGCCTGAAATGATAATATATAATATAATGATTATATATCAGATAGTATATCAGTCTAAATGATTCTTCAAGAATCGGACTGATCCAGTTCTCAAATTTAGCATCTTCTATGATGAGTTGACTCGAGAACCGGATGAGCGAACAAATCATTCTTTTGACTCAGATCTTTTAAAATTATAAAACAATGAATCAACTGCACAAAACTGGTCAGAATGATTTATTTACCACTTAAACTGAATTGACTCAAGAACCGGATCAGTGACCTTCCCAATACCTATCTGAATAAATCATTCACGAATTGGACTGAACCAAATCTCTAATTTAACTTACTGACTAATCTTACGACTTGAAAAAACTTGGAATATACTTTTGTGACACCTGATTGATTAACTAGTTATACTCCCTTAACTCAAATGGTTTTGTTTGCAAGTACACTACCATTTGACTGAAGTTTTTTTTTTTCATCTTTAGTGGACAAAGAGGAAGTACATC